ATAGCAATTTCCTGTACAGTAATATGGGATCAACTGTACTCGAGTCTGTAGCAGCAAGGTTCTTGGGAGATTCTTGTGTGCTCCTTGGATCATTGTACCTTGATTTGATGGTGTACACCAGTGTCTCTATTGCTTTTAATGCCTCCCCCTGATGTGCAAAAAATATGACAGATATAGCTTTAAAAATGGAATTATTCTTGTTAGCAAGGCTATTGAAATCTTAAACAGGTGAAGTGTGAAATTCATTGGTTGGGCAATGGAATGGAGAGATGGATAAATGGGAAGGGATAAAAGGGAGAAAGGGGAAACAGAGAGATGAGTGGATGATTGGGCATACAGATGGCAAGACAAATGGATGGATGGATGGATGGATGGATGGATGGATGGAATGATGGGTAGATGCAAAGAAATCCAATCCATTCCATTCCAGCCCAATCTACTTCACTCCAGACTTATTCAATCCAATTTTATAGGGMTCCCATTGATAGCAGTACTTTTGTTACTGAARGGAATACCCTGCTTTAAGAAAGTATTTCATTCATCCAATCCAGTCCAGTCCCATCCAATTTTTAAGAATGTTATACRTCCCCAGACCAACCTGTTCAAGATGCAGTCTTGCRGTAGTGTAAGCCAGCTCCCAGTCATACCTACATTTCTGCAATCCTTCATTCAARATAACCAAACCCTGCATTGGGTTACCTGTGGCTTCCTCTAGGGCCGCAAGGCACTGCCAAAGTTCCACCTGACCAGGGGTACCCTGGAGTAGTCTTCTGCAAATTCCTCTCGCTGAGTCCAGCCTCCCATGAGCTCTTTCCAAGGCAAGCAGGTTTTGATAGAGAGGAAGGCAGAGCACAACTTTATCCGATGTTGCCTTGTTATGGAGTGTACATGCACGTAATGCCTCTGTAGGAAATTGAAAAAGCAGTTGCATTTTTTCATAGGCCTGATGWGGTTAATTTTAGACTATTTTCAACTGTTTTYACACTAAAATGCGAGGTACGRGAAGCATGRGTGGCGTAGCRGTGAGAGCGYTCACCTCTCAMCAATGCRACCCGGGYTCAAGTCCCRCTGAGCTCGGTGTCGTATGTRAGTAGAATTGTTTGTTGGTTCTCTCCTGTGCTTYGAGGGTTTTCCTGGTTCCCYGGCTTTCCTTTGCTAAATCCCATTTATTTTTATTCATTTATTTTATTTACATGGCACTAACCAAAAGTTTGATTTGATTCTGATGATCCCTGTCAAAAGTATCGCAAATTGGCAWGAGAATTTTTGCCCTAATTGCCTCACTTTCATGCCTGCCAACAATATTTTGACAGAGATTACACATCCCGGAATCAACTGTTGCAGAGAAACATACCATGAAACATTCCAAGTATCTTCTCACTGGGTGTGGAGGTCCCACCACCAGGCTGCCATGGAAACACAAACGTATCCTTAGCAACCATTCTAGCTGGACGCCCATTCTTTGGGTCAAACCATATTGCTGGTAGCCTGTGGAATTCCAATACATGGATATAYGCTAGCCATGCCAGGCAAAGATCCTGTGCTGATATCTTGGTGGTAAGCTTCGGTATACTGCTTTCATCATTAGATGTTGTTTTCTTCTTYCTAATTGCAGATTGAAAGTCAAGCAAAGCCAGTTTGCRCCTTCCAGTGTAAAGCTCCAATTGAACAAGGTACAGAAGAGATTCAAGGAGTCTGTGAGAGTGAMGTTCATCTTTTTGTTGCTGTTCTTGCTTGACTAGGTGGTTGAGTAACCTTATACATATTGTTCGTTTACTGTCGTAAGTGTKGACAGAGTCAAGGTAATGCCACCARATGTTGTAGGTAGGTGTGAACCCTATAGCTTGTTCGCAAAGCTCTTTGTGTTCATCAGGGTGTCCTTGGAGCCTGAAGAGCTTTAAGTACTCAAGCCAAAGCTCCTAAATACAAATGTTAGAATACTATTAGAAAATGATAATAAATATTTGCAGTACAATGAGACAATAATGTGATGCAATTAATGGAAAAACAAATAAAATTTGAAGATAAAGAGAAGGTTARAGAATGGAAAGGGAAAGGAAGGAGATGCAGGAGGAGGTGAGGGATGGATAGGAAAAAAATATAGAATGGAAAGAAAGGGGAATAGGGAAGGGATAGACAAGAAAGCCACTAAGAAATGGCAAAAACCAAGATACCTCAGAGTTTGGATTAGCCTCAAGCCCCCTTGACAAGGTATTCAAACACTGCATGAGACCAATGTCCTGTCCTTCACCATTGCCRTCRTTATCATCATTTGTTTGATGTAATTGAAGTCTAGATAACTTAATCCATAATGCTATGTCTGATGGTGTTTCTTCGACWGCATCAGTCAGTGTTTTGATGCTATTGTAAATTTCAGAGAAATAGCGAATCTCTTGGCTGCAAAAAAAATTGAAGTAAATGATCTTAAAAAAAACACATCTACATCATGAAGCCCAAAATTTACAAATTCTGAAAAACTGTGAAATATTTTGTGTCTACTCAAGGGGAACCACAAGGGTGGTGTTGTAATCTTAGGTTTGGTTCCTGGTCTCGGCATCACATGTGAGTAGAGTTCGTAAGGTCTTTCCTTTGATTGTAGAGTTTTGTACTAGGTTTTCCATTTCTGAAATATTTTGTGTCTATTTAAGGGGAATCACAAGGATAGTGTTGGGGTCTCAGGTTTGATTCCTGGACTCAGCATCACATATGAGTAGAGTATTGATTCGTGGGTTTTTCTCTGGGTTTTCCAGTTTTTCTCTCTCAGCAAAACCTAACATGCTATGTTCCAATTCAGTGCGGCCTGGTCTTTCTCCCACCCTTCCTCTTTGTTACAATACTAAAGACCACCGAGCAACTCATGTTATGTCACTTAGCCATGTCCTTACCATTCCATTCTCGATTCATCAGCACTTGTTTTCATTTTTCTTTCATCCTTTTGTTTAAACTGAACCCCTCTTCCTCTATCAACTGTTCTACCCTCTTCTTCATCAGTTGCATGTTGATTCTGCAGTCGTRATGTCGATAGAACTGACCCACTTATATTAAATGGTGTGGATCTTTTCCCATCTTTTTTAATACTATTCACAAGTAATACTAATAACTGATCCAATGGAATTTTTCCTTTATATTGCTTGGTGAATTTTTCCACTATTAAATTAATCCTTTTTTCTATAACAGTCTGCGACAATTTTTCYGATGCTTGTATTGCATATGATGCCAGATCTCTGATGGCATCAGTGTCAGTGGGGGTGTAATCATGGCGGTGTTGGTGCTTGCAGTCTTCATCATTGCATGCTCCTTTTAGTTCATAATCACAAAGAGTTTTGAATGGATTCAGTTTGTTTGTGAAAGTGAGAGAGCTGAGAGATAGTCCYGCCTTGGTGCGAAAATATGGAGAGAGCCTAGAAGTTAAGTAAAACAGAACATAAATGTGATTTTAAGCAACTCCAATGTTACAATCATCATCATTAACCCATCATCATTACCCACACTATCCTCTTCACCACTAGCATCATCTTCATTAACACCACCACCACCAACATCATTACCACCAGCATCATCACCACTATCATAATTAGTATCAACCATTGTTATCATTACCACTTTACCATCATCGTCATTCATCATCCATCATCATCACCACCACCAACCATCGTCATTATTACCACTTCCACCATAGTCACCACCACCATCATCATCACCACCACCACAACCATCTTCATCAACCACCATCATCATCATCATCACCAACATCTTCATCACCACCTCACCATCACCATCATCACCATCATCACCAGCACCACCTCACCATCACCATCACCAACACCACCATCATCACCAGTACCAGCAGCAGTTACTGCAAATAGTAACCTCACAAAATAAAACTCTATCCTAACCTGTAGGATCTGAAATACAGCAGAATACTTTCAAAAGAGGCCACAGAAATGCTCTTATGGACTTCTGTTTCCGCCAAYTCCTCTGTATCATCATCTTCTCTTGACATACTAGAGCTGCCTAACCAGTCAAGGCTATTAGGGTTAACATCTAGTACTGGTAGGACTGTATGGTTTGATTCAAGCCATATACACAAAGCTGTTTTCTTATGCRCTGACTGAGGTATCTCATGTGTAGATTTAGGGAAAGTAGGACCTTTCTTTTCTTTTTCAACCTAAGAACAAGTGAAACAACAGTAGTGTAAATAGTGGGAAGCATGGGCAATGTGTGCTGCTAATGAACCACCTCTAAACACATCCATCCATCCGTCTGTCCGTCCRTCCGTCCGTCYGTCCACATTTATTACTTTAACATAATTTAACAAAATTATAGGGTAGCTCTAAAAACTAATATCTTTTTGCAACCCAATTGATAATGCAGCCAATAGATCAAATTAGAATTTAGGAGTTGATTTTTGTGGAGGGAGGAAAAACTGCAGAACCCAGAGGAAAAAACCCTTGAATTACAGGAGAGAACCAACAAACAACTTTATTTATATACAACACCAAACATTACAGGGCTCAAACCCTGGTCACATTGCTTTCTACAGCTAAGGCACCTGTGCATTCCATTCCAGATTGTGACATCTGAATGGAAAAGTGACATTTCCTTCCACTACTAGTAATGCAAGRGCATTTTTCATAAACTACCATGAAGCAGGGATGGGGGATTCTTTGCCCACAAATCCATTATTATCCCCCTCCCCCCACAAATCCATTGTTATATTCCCCCCCTCCCTCACCCAGTATACATCTTGCGTTGCATCAGAGATACCTACCTGTAGTTTCTTGATGTAATCTAACTGTTTATCGTCAATATTGAACTCTATACTCTCCATTTCTTGTTGATTTGTCTCCACTCCTTCCATTGGAGCTGAAGAATCTTGAGCAATTCCAAGAACGGCAGTTTGAGCTGTTTTTTCAACAGTCTTTGAAGAATTACCCTCCTTTTTTGGACGAACAGTACTTTCTTCTGGCTTTGGCTGCTGTTTGGTACTGGATTCAACAGCCTTTTTACTTTCATTTGCCTGACTTTTTCTTGGAGATTTTGTAAAGTGACTTAATCTCTCAGCCAGATCTTGTTCCAAGTGTTTGAGCCGTGCTCTCTCTTGTGCTATTCTTTCTGCAAGTAAGCTCTTTCTTGGARAAGCTTTGGCTGACTGAGACTGGGGTGGTTCTATTTTGGCTTTCTTCAAATTCTGCAGATAAAATATAAAAATTACCTTCAATAGCAAAACCTTAAAATAAGATTTCTTTATACATGATATGTCTTCCACGGAAAATGTATAAAAAATTGAAAAAAGAAGCTATCTTAGAAACCTCTATATCATACATGTACATGAGAACGTGATAATCTGATTGGCTAACACTGTTATCAGTTTATCACTTCTAGGTCCCGGCTAATGTGTCCGCACAGTACACCAATTGTTTAACTATTCTCATGAGGAAATACAAATTTGTTTAAATAAGACAGAAAATTTGTGAAGCATTTTAGTAGTAGTAGTAGTAGTAGTAGTAGTAAAATGACGCCATTGTACAAACTGCCAATTCAAAATTGACGTACATGCATATACTAACCATAATACTAGAATCATCTAATGATCTCTTTAAAGATCCTTCTGCCCTGGGAACTCCTGCCCTTTGGTCCTGCATAGTGTCTTTATTCTCATTACTGTCACTACCAGTATAAAAACCAGGGTCTTTTCTAACAGCTGATACCATRCTCTTTACTCGTAATAAGTCCTCTTCTATATTACGGGTGATGGTCATTTTCTTGGCCACTCTATCCTTGACTTTGATTGCCTGTTGGATGACAAGTGAATAGAAGGATTGATAAACAAAAATAGGGATGAAATAGGGATGAGTGGAAATGGAAAAATAGAGAAACAAATGAATAGGATGGAATGGATAGATGGAATGGATGGATGGATGGATGGGTGGATGGGTGCGTGGATGGGTGCGTGGATGGATGGGTGGGTGGGTGGATGGATGGTGGAAAGGATGCCAGAAAGATTGATGAATGAATAGATGGATGGATGGTGGATACATTGGCTTGATAGTGGGTGACAGATAGATGGATAGATTAGGTAACTGGGTGAGGAGTGGGTGGAAATGGTCGTTGGATACATGAAAGACTACTACTGCAGATTTATTTAATGGATGAATGAATATGAGGTCAACCAAATAATGTATAAATGAAAATATGAAAATAACGTATAAATGAAACTTAAAGAAAAAGATGACAAACGAAAAAATATTTAACTAGTGAAATACCCTCTCATGGAGTTTCTTGATAACAAGTCTGTTATTTAACATAGCTTTCTGTGCTGTTTCTAATTGTTTCCTCAGTTTAGAAACTCTGGTTTCCTGTAATTCAAGAAGGCTTGTTTTCTCACTCAGCATCGATGTCATCTTTCCAAGCATTTCTTGATCTTCACTCAACGATTTCCTAATTATGAAATTATTTTTAAATGTTGACAATTCAAACATTTTTAACGCAATGGATAAAAGAATGGCCGAAAGGAAACAGATACTCATGATAAAAAAAAAGGTATTATYTAGTATAGCAATTTCTTTCTCTTCATTACAAACTCCACAACTATTGCCCATTACGAGAGAAATACATTTCATCCCATTAGAATAAAAAAATTTTTTTTTCAATACCTGTGCTTGGTTAGTTTTTCTTCATGCACCTTGGCTTTTTCTTTCAATTCTAACAATTCTCTGCTTTCCTCTGCAGAATCCGTTTTTTCTTCTACAGTTTCACTTTCTGACTTGGATTCTGAAACATAAAAAATCAGGTTGTGTGGTACTGACCTCACACTTGGTTAATACGAGCTTTCYAATGACACATACTCATAATTGTAAAAAATATGGTGTCATCCAAAAAAATGTCTATTCAAGCTCACATGAAATCCTATTCAATTCTCATAAATATTCATCCAATCTCACTTAAAAATACCATTTAATACCCATAATTGGTCATTCAATGTTGCTTAAATTTCCAATCAATTTTGTCAATGTTCATTCAAACTTGCATACATGTAAAATCCCATTCAATTCTCATAAATGGTCATCCAGACGCACATAAAATCCCATTCAATTCTCATAAATGGTCATCCAAAYGCACATAAAATCCCATTCAATTCTCATAAATGTTCATCCAATCTCACATAAAATCACATTCAATTCTCATGAATGTTCATCCAATCTTACATAAAATCCCATTCAATTCTCATAAATGTTTATCCAATCTCACATAAAATCCCATTCAATGATCATGACTAAGATGTTGTCTCATTCCTATGAAATGCTATCTAATTTCCACAGAATCTCATTCAATTTCCATTCAATCCCATCCAATCCCAACCTAAGCTAACCTTTATCCTGGCTGATATCTGACAATGGTTGTCTAGTCTTTCTTCCTTCATGTTGCGCTAACTGTTCCTTCAGACGCCTATATTCAGCTCTTCTTTCTTCTGGTAAGTGAGCCAAGGCATCAGGTGTCTTGGGTACTGTCATCACCTCTGTGATTTCAATTTTAGATTCTGGTTTGGGCTTTGAATTCAACAAAACAGAGACAGACTTTAAAATTAGCCTTTTCTTTGCTCTTACTATCACAACATGGACACCATAGATCAAAGTTTAAATCGTAGTACATGCAACCCCAGACAATAGGTGCTGTGCAGCCTCTATCACCCCTCCCCCTCTAGAGAAAGGGGGAGAGCAGGAGAGGGGTAAGAGCAGGTGTACACACATTTTTCCCATTGGGGAAGGATATGAGGCAACTGTACACATTTTTTACCAAAGGGTGAGGGGTGAGTGAGAGTAACTGTACACATTTTTTCCTACTGGGGAGGGGTAAGACTGGTTGTACATATTTTCCCCATCGGAGGTAGGCTGGAGGGAGGGTCCAATTCAAAAGATTAACTATAGAGGCTTTGCACCACCATGACAGRAGGCAGGAACAATTGAATCTGGTCTAATCTAATTTACATAAGAAAGAATTCAGTTTCCCTGGGGAGAACGACTATTGTTGTGCCTTCTGTCATGGGTGCCATGGTGTGATCGTGCAAAGTCTCTATTAACATAATGTTCACCTAGTATAGAATACTGGCAGAATACTCTCAGCCAATGTGAGGCCATATAGTGAGTATAATGTATAACAACATAATAGAATCATAGTRTTACTCACCTCTACTGAATTTCTAGCTTGTTTAAGCATCATATCAAGACTACCAAAGAACCCTCCTCTTTGCTGTATATGGCTCTCTTGTTGATACATTTCTTCATCAGAGGAATCGGAGTCTTCCCCAAGTCGAATGACTACAGGGTCATGTTGAGGGGGCTGGATAGGCACCTACAGGAGAACATAGCAAAACACAGTAAAATGAGAAATAACAGTAAAATGGGGTAATATAATAGAGATGACTACAGGTTCATATTGAGGGGAGGGGGAGATAGRCACCTACAGGAGAACATATTGACCTCTATCTAGGGCATAATGTTTTGCCATTTCAGAAGTTTAAAGTTTCCTTGCTTGAGTWGTATGCATGTGTCTTCTCAAGCTTGCTTGCCTGCATTTGCCTGCACCCTCAGAGCAGCTCCATTGGACTCTGGTTGTAATACATTTGGAGGTTTTATTCACCACTAGCTTTGGCATACACTACAGACTGAGCTCATTGCACAACCAACACATAAAGAAATAACACTTTAGGGAATGACACTTGGTTTGAAATGGGAAAACATTATRCCCAGGACTATGACTGGTAAAATACTGGAAACTGTTAGGATAGAATATTTCATACATACCTTATTAATAGTATTTGGTTGCTGAACAGACTTAAAGTTAGCTTGGCTTGTGTTGGTAGTCTTGTAAACAGTTGGTTTAACAGACTCTTTTATGGATGTTGCTGTACTTGGACTGGCCGGTGCTGACTGGGATTTCATTTCCTATAAATAAATATCATTAAATAACATATTTTCGACTTTCACATCCCCATAATGCCTTGCGTCTTTGGGGGTAACCAATCAAAAAACTGTCCCAAATTGAAAATTTTTTTAATTGAATTTATACTATACCTGCTTTTATCTGTACAATACTGATTATCAGTTTATTCCAAGTTATTTTTGCGTGTACAGATCATCAAGAGTTTTGGTCTTACAGAAAATGCATTGACTTACGAACAAATGTTTAAAATTTACCTTAAGCGTCTTCAAGCTTCTATCTTTTTCTGTTTTTTTACTTCTTCATTTTATTTTTGGATACCAAGCAAGGTATTGTCAACATTGTCTGAACAGCCTTCAGCAAAATAAGTGGGTTTTTACCCTCTGGTTACCCCCCAAAGACTCAAAGTATTATGGGGATGTGAAAGTAGAGAATAAGACTAAAAATTAGGACTAAAATCTGCATTTCCCCCAATCATTCTCAATTCAGTGATTTTTAAACAAATATACCACTAAACTTAATTCCAATCCCATAAATTCTTTCTCCACTTCTCATTTTGTAACAACATCATCCTGAAAACTCCCAACTTGTCATTCCATCATATAAATCTCACTTTCTGATTGGTTGGGACACTGTAGAGTGCACACACTTTTCATTGTGTCATTCGTATATTTATAATAAGGACATTCTAATTTATATTATTATTTTAAAAGAAATAAAAAATTACTTGAGCTGTGTGCAGTTATAAAGCAGTAGGCTGTTGGCAGAACACTCGAGAAGTATTGCAATTAAGCACTGAGCTACGCGTCACGCTTCACCTAATGCTCTTGTGTTCTGCCGAACCCATATGCACACGCACAAACCAAGCAATTCTTTTAATAATTGAATTTTTTCTTATATTTTAATATTCTAAATATTTTCTATTTATTCAGTAATCACCTTCAAGTCAATACTCTTAGCTGCTCTCTTCTTAGCCACAGACTTCAGAAGTATCTCTCTGAGTAATGCAGCTTCATCATCATCATCWTCTTCTTCTTCTTCTATTTCTTCTGTTGGTGTTATCTGGCCTTCTTTGTTATGGTTTTGTAGTGAAGGTGAAAGATCTCCTTGCCCTGGTGAAAAGAATTGACAACACTAAATTAAAAAACTAGTTAGTAAATAGTTGGCTACTGTGTAAGGTATAACTATG